AATCGAAAAGAACAAAATAGTCAAAAAGGAATTAATTTCAACATTTTTGTTTTATTTTATGACTGCAGCTCATTTAGCACTATTTAATAATGATAAAAAAAATGGAAATAATATATTTCCTCAAAATTTTCTTTTCTTTAAGATAATCGTATCATCAATTTTTGAAATTAAAAAATCAAATATTTCGATACCAAAAGTTATTATAAACAATGAAAACCACAATTAATCTTCTTCATGAAAAATTGGCCACTATTTGACGACGTTAATTAGAAACTGACAAATATTTTCTCCTGACATTTATTTTTAATGAAACAAAAAAATGAAATTGAACAATTTTGACATGCATATTTTTAATATGAATTATGCAGCGAACGAATACAAAGAAACCATAAACGGCAAAAAATTAGCAAACATTTTATAGAAAAGCGTACTTGAGAAATTGTAAAAAATGTATTTAAAGTTTTGATTTCAGAAAAATGAAAATTTGCCAAATTAACAATATTTTTGGAAACGACAGGGAAGTAGAGTTAATTCTACACAAAAATTCGAGCAGCTTTTATATGAAAATCAATCCAAAATTTTATAGCATCAATTCCTACAAAATCGAAAAGAACAAAATAGTCAAAATTTCGAGTACAAAAAGTTTAATAGTTAAAAGGAATTAATTTCAACATTTTTGTTTTATTTTATGACTGCAACTCATTTAGCACTATTTAATAATAATTAAAAAAAAAATGGAAATAATATATTTCCTCAAATTTTGATTTTCTTTAAGATAATCGTATCGTCAATTTTTGAAATTGAAAAATCCAAAAAATTTCGATACCAAAAGTTATTATAAACAATGAAAACCACAATTAATCTTCTTCATGAAAAATTGGCCACTATTTGACGACGTTAATTAGAAACTGACAAATCTTTCCCGTGACTTATATTTTTAATTAACAAAAAAATGGAAATTGAACAATTTTGACATGCATATTTTGAAAATGATTTATGCAGCAAGGAATACAAAGAAACCATAAATGGCAAAAAAGCAGCAAACTTTTTCGAAAAAACTGTACTTGAAGAAATTGCCAAAAATTTATTTAAAGTTTTGATTTCAGAAAAATGAAAATTTGCCAAATTAACAATATTTTTGGAAACGACAGGGAAGTTAAGTTAATTCTACACGAAAATTGGAACAACTTTTATATAAAAATCAATCCAAAATATTATAGCATCAATTCCTACAAAATCGAAAAGAACAAAATAGTCAAAATTTCGAGTACAAAAACTTTAATACTTAAAAGGAATTAATTTCAACATTTTTGTTTTATTTTATGACTGCAGCTCATTTAGCACTACTTAATAATAATAATAAAAAAATGGAAATAATATATTTGTTCAAAATTTGACTTTCTTTAAGAAAATCTTATCGTCAATTTTTGAAATTAAAAAATCAAAAAATTTCGATACTAAAAGTTATTATAAACAATGAAAACCACAATTAATCTTCTTCATGAAAAATTGGCCACTATTTGAAGACGTTAATTAGAAATTGACAAATCTTTTCCCGTGACATTTATTTTTAATTAAACAAAAAAATGGAAATTGAACAATTTTGACATGCATATTTTGAAGATGATTTATGCAGCAACGAATACAAACAAACGATAAATGACAAAAAAGCAGCAAACTTTTTCGAAAAAAGTGTACTTGAAGAAATTGCAAAAATTTATTTAAAGTTTTGATTTCAAAAAAATGAAAAATTTACCAAATTAACAATATTTTTGGAAACGATGAGGAAGTAATGTTAATTCTACATGAAAATTCGAAAAACTTTTATATGAAAATCAATCCAAAATTTTATAGCATCAATTCCTACAAAATCGAAAAGAACAAAATAGTCAAAATTTCGAGTACAAAAAGTTTAATAGTTAAAAGGAATTAATTTCAACATTTTTGTTTTATTTTATGACTGCAACTCATTTAGCACTATTTAATAATAATTAAAAAAAAATGGAAATAATATATTTCCTCAAATTTTGATTTTCTTTAAGATAATCGTATCGTCAATTTTTGAAATTGAAAAATCCAAAAATTTCGATACCAAAAGTTATTATAAACAATGAAAACCACAATTAATCTTCTTCATGAAAAATTGGCCACTATTTGACGACGTTAATTAGAAACTGACAAATCTTTCCCGTGACTTATATTTTTAATTAACAAAAAAATGGAAATTGAACAATTTTGACATACATATTTTGAAAATGGCAAAAAAGCAGCAAACTTTTTCGAAAAAAGTGTACTTGAAGAAATTGCCAAAAATTTATTTAATGTTTTGATTTCAAAAAAAATAAAATTTGCCAAATTAACAATATTTTTGGAAACGACGGGGAAGTAAAGTTAATTCTACACAAAAATTCGAGCAACTTTTATATGAAAATCAATCCAAAATTTTATAGCATCAATTCCTACAATATCGAAAAGAACAAAATAGTCAAAATTTCGAGTACAAAAAGTTGAATACTTAAAAGGAATGAATTTCAACTTTTTTTTTTATTATTTTATGACTGCAACTCCTTTAACGCTATTTAATAATAATTTAAAAAAATGAAAATAATATATTTCCTCAAAATTTTATTTTCTTTAAGAAAATCTTGTCGTCAATTTTTGAAATTAAAAAATCAAAAAATGTCGATACCAAAAGTTATTATAAACAATGAAAACCGCAATTAATCATCTTCATGAAAAATTGGCCACTATTTGACGACGTTAATTTGAAATTGACAAATCTTTTCCCGTGACATTTATTTTTAATTAAACAAAACAATGGAAATCGAACAATTTTGACATACATATTTTTAAAATGAATTACGCAGCGAACGAATACAAAGAAACCATAAATGGCAAATAAGCAACAAACTTTTTAGAAAAAAGTGTACTTGAAGAAATTGCCAAAAATTTATTTAATGTTTTGATTTCAAAAAAAATAAAATTTGCCAAATTAACAATATTTTTGGGGACGACAGGGAAGTAAAGTTAATTCTACACAAAAATTCGAGCAACTTTTATATGAAAATCAATCCAAAATTTTATAGCATCAATTCCTACAAAATCGAAAAGAACAAAATAGTCAAAATTTCGAGTACAAAAAGTTGAATACTTAAAAGGAATGAATTTCAACTTTTTTTTTTATTATTTTATGACTGCAACTCCTTTAACGCTATTTAATAATAATTTAAAAAAATGAAAATAATATATTTCCTCAAAATTTTATTTTCTTTAAGAAAATCTTGTCGTCAATTTTTGAAATTAAAAAATCAAAAAATTTCGATACCAAAAGTTATTATAAACAATGAAAACCGCAATTAATCTTCTTCATGAAAAATTGGCCACTATTTGAGGACGTTAATTAGAAAATGACAAATATTTTCTCCTGACATTTATTTTTAATGAAACAAAAAAATGAAATTGAACAATTTTGACATGCATATTTTTAATATGAATTATGCAGCGAACGAATACAAAGAAACCATAAATGGCAAAAAATTAGCAAACATTTTATAGAAAAGCGTACTTGAGAAATTGTAAAAAATGTATTTAAAGTTTTGATTTCAGAAAAATGAAAATTTGCCAAATTAACAATATTTTTGGAAACGACAGGGAAGTAGAGTTAATTCTACACAAAAATTCGAGCAGCTTTTATATGAAAATCAATCCAAAATTTTATAGCATCAATTCCTATAAAATCGAAAAGAACAAAATAGTCAAAATTTCGAGTACAAAAAGTTTAATAGAGGAATACATTTCAACATTTTTGTTTTATTTTATGACTGCAGCTCATTTAGCACTATTTAATAATGATAAAAAAAATGGAAATAATATATTTCCTTAAAATTTTCTTTTCTTTACGATAATCTTATCGTCAATTTTTGAAATTAAAAAATCAAAATATTTCGATACCAAAAGTTATTATAAACAATGAAAACCACAATTAATCTTCTTCATGAAAAATTGGCCACTATTTGACGACGTTAATTAGAAACTGACAAATCTTTTCCCGTGACATTTATTTTTAATTAACAAAAAAATGGAAATTGAACAATTTTGACATGCAAAGTTTGAAAATGAATTATGCAGCGAACGAATACAAAGAAACCATAAATGGCAAAAAAGCAGCAACCTTTTTAGAAAAAAGTGTACTTGAATAAATTGCCAAAAATTTATTTATGTTTTGATTTCAAAAAAATGAAAATTTACCAAATTAACAACATTTATGGAAACGATTAATTTCAACATTTTTGTTTTATTTTATGACTGCAACTCCTTTAACACTATTTAATAATAATAAAAAAAATGAAAATAATATATTTCCTCAAAATTTGATTTTCTTTAAGATAATCTTGTCAATTTTTGAAATTAAAAATTCAAAAAATTTCGATACCAAAAGTTATTTTTAACAAAGAAAAGCATAATCAATCTTCTTCAACAAAAAATGTCCAATATTTGACGACGTTAATTACAAACTGACAAACATTTTCCCGAAACATTTACTTTTAATAAAAAAAAAATAAAACTGAACAATCTTGAAATTTATATTTTTAAAATGAACTACGCCGCAAACCACTACAAATAAAACGAAAATAACAAAAAACAAACTTTTTTCAAAAAAGCCAACCTAAAGGAGTTGCCAAAAATTCCTTTGATGTTTTGAGACCAAAAAAAAAACCGAATTAACAATATTTTTGGAACCAACAAGGAAGTATATTTTAAACAAAGCCCGAAAATTTACAGTTACTTTAGATTATTATTACTCATTGCATACAAAACACCTAATTACCAACGCGTTGTGAGAACCTCCAACTTCCCATCAACCTCGTTAATCTAGTTACCATACACCCATGACTCAGCCGAACTTTACCCACACAACAAACCCAGTGATTCCCATTCACCCAAAAAAGTACCAACAAACCCTCCCCAAAAATCAAAACCAAAAAAAAACAAATACTCACTTAATCAACCAAAAATATCACAAATTTTCACAGACTGTACAACTCTTCGCAACAAAGGCCAACCGCTTAACACCACTTTAGTCTTCTCTTCTTCTCAGAACCCTTTTTTTCCATCATAACACGAAGAAGTCGAAGAACTCCTCACAACAACGTGCTCGAAACAGAAATACCCAGTCCAACAGCCGCACATCCTTAAATAGGTAAAGCTTGTTTGTATATCGCGCTCACTACAACCACACACGCTAGACAAAGACAGCACAAAAAGTAGCAAATGGCGATTGAAATAGCCAGCCCTCGTGTGGAATCGAGAACATTCGTCTAAGTCTGAGGGGAAGATTATAATTTTTAGTTCCTGTTATTATGCATAAGTAGTTGTAGGGTTTCCAGAAAGCTTGACCCTTTTCTTAAAGGCGATTATTGCTTAATTGTCAGAAGGTTGCCGGCTGGGGCAAGCCATGCTGCAAGTCACGTAGGATGAGGTCTGGAGCTATTAAGGGTCTGTTATCGTTCTCTATTTTGTCGTGTTTTTTTTTTTTAATGAAAACTTATATCACCCAGTTGACACCTTACGAGTTTATTAGTGTCCATGTCCCACTACTCCTAATTACATAATTGTTAATAGCGTTATCTACAGCTGCCACCCATTAAAATCCACGTGATTTAGCCACTGGAAACGCCAAATTAATACCCGAACACCGTGATTGATGATAAACCACAAACACGATACGAGTTACTGACGTTTCATTTTCGTCACATTTATTCCACTTTCTTGTAATCTCTTTCTTTATTTTGTTTTTATAGTCTCGATAACAGCAAAAATAGGCTTTTACGTTAACAGGTGATAATTTTCTTTTTTTGGGTGTGTTTTTGTTGTAAATGTTGAAATTGAGCGTTTTTGTTCAGTTTGGTAACGCAACGCTTATCGGTGTTGTGATAAGTCGCGGGCTTTTGCGCTTAATAATTTTATTTGTGAAACTGATAATTTTAATTTTAGCGTGATGTTTGCGACAAGTGGCAATTAGGATCGGTCGTGTTTTCCGCGTCTGGGTCCGGATTTGCTTGGCGAAATTTGTTTTTGTAAATATGTAGTTAGAGTTTAAAAGAGAGTAAAGGTGAATGCAAATTTGAATGTTATCAGAGGACTTTGGACGTGTTTGTGATTTCTTTTAGCGCGAACAATTGCAGAGATTCCGCTTTTTGTAACAAAGTTCACTATTGAAATTAGTTGATTTTGAAACAATTTTGCTTAACAACAATATCAACAAGAAACTTCCATTTAATTTACATTCCTGAAAATCAGATATCTTTCGCTGTCTTATAAAGCACAAAGTAAATTTGTAATAAAAATTTTAAAGATGTAAAAAATTAAAATTTTCTAGTGATCACTAGAATTTTTTTTATGTTTGCTTAGTTTAAAATTAATAACAATATAATAATAATAATAGCATCTTGTGTATCATTTTAGAAGTTCGAAAACATCTTTTTTATTCTATTTTGTGAGATAAATAACAACTTAATCGTAAGAAAAAATTATTAACTATTGCCAACGAGATTCATTATTGAAATTTGAGACGAGGTTGAAATAATTTTAGTGAAAAAAAGCTATAAATAAGTAATTTCCATTTCATTTACATTCCTGAAAAACTGGTATTTTTCTCTTTCTTATAAGAGACAAACTAAATTTGTATTAAAAATTTTAAAAACGTAAAATAAAAATTTAGATTGACTTTATGTTTTATGATAATATTTCTTGTTTTTGCGGCAAATAATTGTTGAAAGAAACTATGTCTATAAAGAAAATAAAAAAAAATTAAGCCCCACCCACCCGCCCCGATCTCAATTGTGATGAATTTTTCATTCGTTGTTAGACCGAAGGGCGGAGTTTAATTGTTAACATCAATATTTCTTTAAAAAATTTTATCCTTTTAAAAACATACATATTTGATATGGTAATTTATTGTAGAGAAATGAGGATTTTGCAATTAAACTCCGCCCTTCAGCTCACGATGAATAAAGCATTCGTCAAAATCGAGAAGGGGTGGGTGGGCGGGGCTTATATTGGCTCCGTTTTTTCTTAAAATACGAAGTCTTCTTTTGCCAACAAGAAACTGAAAACGTGTTTAACTATCCTGTTGTAGAAAGAAAATTCTATACATTAAAAAAAAAACACAAACAAAGATTAAGCCCCACCTACCCGCCCGATCTCAACTGTGATGAATTTTTCATTCGTTGTTAGACCGAAGGGCGGAGTTTAATTGTAACATCAATATTTCTTTAAAAAATTTTATCCTTTTAAAAACATACATATTTGATATGGTAATTTATTGTAGAGAAATGAGGATTTTGCAATTAAACTCCGCCCTTCAGCTCACGATGAATAAAGCATTCGTCACAATTGAGAAGGGGTGGGTGGACGGGGCTTATATTTGTTCCGTTTTTTCTTAAAATATGAAGTCTTCTTTTGCCAACAAGAAACTGAAAACGTGTTTAACTATCCTGTTGTAGAAAGAAAATTCTATACATTAAAAAAAAAACACAAACAAAGATTAAGCCCCACCTACCCGCCCGATCTCAACTGTGATGAATTTTTCATTCGTTGTTAGACCGAAGGGCGGAGTTTAATTGTAACATCAATATTTCTTAAAAACATTTTATCCTTTTAAAAACATACATCTTTGATATGGTAATTTATTGTAGAGAAATGAGGATTTTGCAATTACACTCCGCCCTTCAGCTCACGATGAATAAAGCATTCGTCACAATTGAGAAGGGGTGGGTGGGCGGGGCTTATATTTGCTCCGTTTTTTCTTAAAATATGAAGTCTTCTTTTGCCAACAAGAAACTGAAAACGTGTTTAACTATCCTGTTGTAGAAGGAAAATTCTATATATTAAAAAAACACACACACAAAGATTAAGCCCCACCCACCCGCCCGATCTCAATTGTGATGAATTTTTCATTCGTTGTTAAACCGAAGGGCGGAGTTTAATTGTAACATCAATAGTTTTCTAAAAAATTTGATCCTTTTAAAAACATACATATTTGATATGGTAATTTATTGTAGAGAAATGAGGATTTTGCATTTAAACTCCGCCCTTCAGCTCACTATGAATGAAGCATTCGTCACAATTGAGAAGGGGTGGGTGGGCGGGGCTTATATTTGGTCCTTTTTTCTTAATATACCAAGCCTTCTTTTCCCAACAAGAAACTGAGAACATGTTTAACTATCCTGTTATTGAAACAAAAGTCTATATATTAAAAAAAAAACAAAGATTAATTGCAAATAGCAAAATTGACGAAACGAAAAATTGAAAAAAAGTGAAATTGAATAAAACAAAAAATTATAACACGGAACATTGAAATTGTAAATATAAAGAAAATATAATTTTGAAAAAAATTCAAAATCTGAAAACTCGAAAAAATTGAAATGGAAAAAATGAAGGACCAAAAGAATGAAAGAACTGATTTTTCAGTTTCTAAATTTTCAGTTCTTCGATTTCTCAGTTTTGTGATTGATGTTTCGGTTGTGGGATTTTTCACTATTTCGACGAATATTATAGATTTTTCGATTTCTCCATTTTTTGATTTTGCAGTTCATTGATACTGGTATTTCAATTTTTCGATTTTTAAAATTTTTGACTTTCGATTTTTCAATTTTTCTAGTTCTTGATTTAAAGAGATTTCGTGTTTCGATTTTTTTATCGTTCAATTTTTCGATTTTTTGACTTCGATTTTTCGATTTCTCGATTTTTCGACTTTTCAATTTTTCCAATGTTTAAGTTATAACATTTTCCAATTTTTCAGTTTCCCTAGTTTCAAAATCTTCAATTTTTCGTTTCTTGAGTTTTTCGATTTTCAATGTTTCTATTTTGCAACTTTCATTACGGTTTTTCATTTCTCAGTTTATAGTTTTTCTATTTTTCAGTTTTTCGTTTCTACAATTTTTCAACTTCTTGATTTTTGTTTTTCATTACCGTGATTTTTAATTTTTATTTTCCCGATTTTATATCACAATTTTTCGTTTTTTCATTTCCTTTAGTTTTTCAATGTTTCATTCGAGTTTATAATTTTTCGTTTATTCAATTCTTCTAATTTTCAATCTTTGATTTGCCAATTCGTTGATTTTCTATTTTTTCTTAAGATATGAAGTCTTCTTTTCCCGACAAAAAATTGATAATATGTTTAACTGCTGTTGAAAGAAAACCCCGTATATTAAAAAAAAAATACGCCCCACCCATCCGCCCCGATCTCAATTGTGATGAGTTTTTTTGGAACTTAGAAAATTCTACCCTTTTAAAAAGATATTTCATATGGTAATTTCCTGTAGAGAAATGAGGATTTTGCAACTAAATTCCGCCCTTCAACGCACGATGAATAAAGCATTCGTCACAATTGAGAAGGGGTGGGTGGGCGTAGCTTATATTTGCTCCGTTTTTTCTTAAAATATGAAGTCTTCTTTTGCCAACAAGAAACTGAAAACGTGTTTAACTATCCTGTTGTAGAAAGAAAATTCTATATATTAAAAAAAACACACACAAAGATTAAGCCCCACCCACCCGCCCCGATCTCAATTGCGATGATTTTTTTTTATTCGTCGTAAACCGAGGGGCGGAGTTTAATTGTAACATCAAAAAATTTCTCTAGAAAATTCTGCCCTTTTAAAAACATTTCATATGGTAAGATCTTGTAGAGAAATGAGGATTTTGCAACTAAGCTTCACCCTTCAATTCACGATGAATAGAAAATTCATCACAATTGAGAAGGGGTGGGTGGGCGGGGCTTATATTTTGTCCATTTTTTTCTTAATATACGAAGTCTTCTTTTCCCAACAAGAAACTGAAAACGTGTTTAACTATCTGATTGTTGAAAGAAAACTCTATACATTAAAAAAAAATAATAATAAGCCCCGCCCACCCGCCCCGATCTCAAAACTTCAATAATCGAAGAATCCAAGAATCCAACTGCTCAAAGATTCAAAACGAAGAAAAAACAAAAAAGAACGACGAACAACGGATGAAAAACGCAGAACGGAAAAAGAGAAAAACAAATCATTTTTTGCAATTTTTGTTGGGGCTTATGTTTGGTCCATTTTTTCTTAATATACGAAGTCTTCTTTTGCCAACAAGATACTGAAAACATGTTTCACTATCCTGTTGTTAAAAGAAAACCCTGCATATTAAAAAAAATACACACAAAGATTAAGCCCCACCCACCCGCCCCGATCTCAATTGTAATGAATTTTTCATTCGTTGTTAGACCGAAGGGCGGAGTTTAATTGTAACATCAATAGTTTTCTAAAAAAATCTACCCTTTTAAAAACATATTTCATAGGGTAATTTCTTGTAGAGAAATAAGGTGTTTGCAGCTAAATTCCACCCTTCAGCGCACGATGAATAAAACATTCATCACAATTGAGAAGGGGTGGGTGGGCGGGGCTAATATTTGGTCCATTTTTTCGTAATATATGAAGTCTTCTTTTCCCAACAAGAAACTGAAAACATGTTCAAGCATTCTGTTGTTGAAAGAAAATTCTATATATTAAAAAAACACACACAAAAATTAAGCCCCACCCACCCGCCCGATCTCAATTGTGATGAATTTTTCATTCGTTGTTAGCCCGAAGGGCGGAGTTTAATTGTAACATCAATACTTCTCTAAAAAATTCTACCCTTATAAAAACATATTTTGTATAGCAATTTCTTGTAGAGAAATGAGGTTTTTGCAACTAAACTCCGCCCTTCAGCTCATGATGAATAAAGCATTCATCACAATTGAGAAGGGGTGGGGGGGCGGGGCTTACATTTGGTCCATTTTTTTCTTAATATATGAAGTCTTCTTTTCCCAACAAGAAACTGAAAATATGTTTACCTATCCTGTTGTAGAAAGAAAATTCTATATATTAAATACAGAGAGAGAGAGATTAAGCCCCACCCACCCGCCCCATCTCAATTGTGATGAATTTTCATTCGTTGTTAGACCGAAGGGCGGAGTTTAATAATTGTAACATCAATATTTCTCTAAAAAAGTCCATCCTTCTAAAAAACATATTTCATATGGTAATTTCTTGTAGAGAAATGAGGATTTTGCAAACTAAACTCTGCCCTTCAGCTCACAATGAATAAAGCATTCGTCACAATTGAGAAGGGGTGGGTGGGCGGGGCTTATATTTTGTCCGTTTTTTCTTAATATACGAAGTCTTTTTTTATCAACAAGAAACTGAAAACATGTTAAACTATCCTGTTGTTGAAAGAAAATTTATATATGTATTAAAAAAAACAGAGATTAAGCCCCACCCACCCGCCCTGGTGTCAATTGTGATGAATTTTTCATTCGTTGTTAGACCGAAGGGCGGAGCGTAATTGCAAAATACATATTTCTTTATTGATTTGAATGAGTTTATCTTCTCAAAACAGAGGACTAAAATTATTAATTAACCACAATAATCGAACAAAATATTATGAACAACTTTTTTCGTACTGAAGGATTCATGAAACGTCGAGAAAACATAAAAGTGGCAATTCGTCCAAAATCCATTTTATTTGAATTTGTAATCCTCCAAATAAAGTGTTTAAATAAACTGGTTAAACACGTAATTACATATTTAATTCCAGTTTTAGAGAGTTTAGTTTTGTTAAAAAAATGCTTAATAAATATTATATTGAATTCGCTGACACTATATTTTAATATATATGTGAATAAGACAAAATTTGTCAAAATAAAACATTTAAATCTTCAATTCGTAATAAATTCTAACAATCATTGAAAAAAAACCTTCTCTAGTGAGCCATGGAATTAATTCTCTAAATAACTGTACTCCATGGAAAAATAACAAGCTTTGAAAAAACTTGAATTGTTTATCTGAACTTTACAATGTCTTCAAATAATTTCATTACACTTTAAAACCATTTAATAGACCACATATATTTAACCCAATTTTATAGCCGTCATTCCCCATCAGCCAGAGAAATAAATTTTACCAATCTGTTTTTCACAGTCCACGAAGTTGATTCATCTCGGAGACGTCTCGTTGGGGTCAGCTAGTCTGGCGACCCGAGTGCGCTGCAACATTCGGGGCGCCTAGCCGAATCAATCAGTGTATTTTTATATTGAAAAACAACCGAAACGTCCCAGAGAATATACATTCTGCCATAAAACAAAAACGAAATACATATTTCAATTAAAATTTAAAATAATATACAATCTGGCTTCGGGTTAGGGTCACACTTAAACATTAATAATCAGCATGGCAACAAAATCAGACAGAATTTGACTTAATGCCGATTTTATTGATTGATTCAAACGTATTTAGGTACGTCGTAAATTATGACTTTAATGGCAGCTTCAGGAAAATTGCTTGCATTGATTGATTAAGCCCAATTTTCCGACCTCCCACTTCCTTGTCACAGTGTGTTACTAACTTGTATGGAGATATAAAAATGCATTCAATTACCGGCGGAATATTAAGCAACCGAATGTAAAAAAAGCAAATAACAACTGTTTACAAACAGTAACGAGTTTTCAGATTTGTTTTATCTTTTAATTATACAAAAAAAAAATTAACAGTTGTTTCGTTTTTTCAGTTGGCATAATACATTCCCCTAAACATAAACGTCAAACCATAATCGACTAGTTTTTTTATTTTTCGCCACTCTAGCACCTTCGGCAACTGCTATCAGCGAAATGACCCCAATCAACCCAGCTCTGATTACACCTTTATCACCTCCTTATCACCCATGTCCACTCGCCAGCCACGTTCCCGTATCCTCCTTATCACTCAAACAAAAATACTGCAACCGTTAAAACTAACATCGTTATCAGTCTAAATCACCAAAATCCGTTTTGACCCATCCCGAGTCCCCAAAAATTTCCCATTTCTCGATTCCATTACCCACTTATCTCCCATTCGAGATAACTCAGTCACATCCGGATTAAAGGTCGCAATGGGCGTGATAAAAACCACTCATCAGACGCATGATATTTATTTACAAAAAAATGCACCCATAATACAAGTCTCCATTTAAAAATAAAGCTCAATTAATAAAATACTGCTCACTGCCCCGGGCCCGACAACGACTTATCCATAAACTTCTTCTTAGCGAAACACAGCCACCACTTACTCGGCTTCCCGTCCTCCCCAAACACCTTATCCACCACCCGCAGCCCCACTTCCTGCCTCAACTGCGTCAAATACGCCCTCATGAACTCGGCGTCAGTCGGCGACTTCGCGCGACTGTACACCGAGTTCAAGGGGAACCCTGGGTCCCCCGGAATGTCAAACCGCGAAATCGCTAGGGTGTACATCTCATTCTGGCCGAGGTTCCTATTGGAGCACCGCTGGAGCTTTTTGAGACACTCGGTGATATAGAGAGTAATGTAGATTAGCAAGCGGTCGGCTTCTGACTACAAAAAAACCATAAATGGGTGTTGGGTGTAAAGCAAGGGGGCACCTTTATCTCGTAAGTACGGAAGAACACGTTGGCTTTGAAGTAGTAGAGGGCTTCGTCTATGATGTCTTGATCGGCGGACTGACCCGTGAAAAGGGGCGCAGGACCCCGGAATTGCGTTTTAAAGGGGAGGATTGCTGTGTTACCGACGGACTGCTGATGGTCCAAGAAAACTGAATGGTAGGCCTGAAAGTGATAGGTTGACACGAAGGGGGCGACGGGGGGCTGCACACTCACCGGCATTTTTTAAATTAGAACAGAAACCGAAATTTGTAGTTGGTTTGGTTATGTTTCCTGAAACACCCAAATTAGTAATGCCGGTAATGCAGAGACCTGTTCGAGTGGCGCGGTATGGGGGCTGCCGCGCTCACTCTAGAGTACTCTAGACTGCGCTTTAGTGTCCGAATGAACCCAAATTATTATAAAAAAGCGTCTAATTCAAGTTTTAACACGAAACAGGAAACCGTGATTGTTTTCTTTTAGTTGAGGTTAAATTTATCGATAATACAGGTCTCTGTCAATTTCCAAACATAACCTCCAAATATAGTTCGGAAGTGCATTTTTCTCGTAAACTAAGCGACGATGCGGTTTGCGCAGTTAGTGATAGGTCCCGCGGGCAGCGGCAAGGTAAGCCCCGACAGCCCCGTTTCATTATCGACAATTTTCAATTTCAGTCCACTTACTGCTCCGCTCTTGTCCGGCACGCAGTGGAAAAAAAACGCGCCATCGAAGTCGTTAATCTGGACCCCGCGGCCGAGCACTTCGACTACGAACCGATGGCCGACGTCCGCGAGCTCATTCACGTCCAAGACACGATGGAAGATGAAGAGCTCCACTTTGGCCCCAACGGGGGTCTAATATTTTGTATTGAGTACCTACTCGAAAACTCCGACTGGTTGCGCGACAAGCTGGGGGAGGACGAAGACGACTACGTCCTGTTCGACTGTCCTGGCCAGATTGAACTCTACACACACTTAACAGCCATGAAAAAATTAGTCAAGCAGTTACAAGACTGGAATTTTAATATTTGCGCTGTGTTTCTGGTGGACGTGCAGTTTATGACCGACGGGGCGAAGTTCCTGTCGGGGACCATGGCGGCGTTGAGCGTCATGGTGAATTTGGAGCTGCCACACGTGAATTTGTTGTCAAAGATGGATTTGTTGAGCAAGGGGGCGCGCAAAAGGATTGAGAGGTTTCTGGAGCCTGATGCGCACGCGATTTTAGGGGACATTGAGCTGAATGGGGCGAATGCCTTTAACGATAAGTATAAAAAGCTGTCAGAGGCAATTGGGGATTTAATTGAAAACTATTCACTAGTTAGGTTTCTTCCACTGAATTTAAAAAATCACGAAAGTGTGAACGACATTTTAATTACTATAGATAACATTATCCAGTATGGGGAGGACCAGGATGTGCGGACCCGTGACTTTGAAGAGGCCGACGACGACGATTAATTTTTCTTAATTAATAATAATTCGGAATTAGGAGCGACATTGACCAGGTTGATTAAAATGCGTTTACATAATTTATTTCAGATTTATACTTTTTTTATATAAAACAATAACACAAAATACTAAGTCTATTTTTCTATCGTTTTATCGTTAAAGCAATGAATGAATGGTAATGATGCGCAATGAAAGTATAAAAAAATCGCGAGTTATTTACAAAAAATTGTTATTCGATTGCACAAAATAGGAGGGGTGAGTCAGTTGAGTAAGTATAGGAATTATCACAGAAAAAGAATTTGTTCATGAGTTTCTCCTCTGAAAATAAAATAAAATACTGACGTACGTGATGAAGCTCGGCCTTAACAAAGACAACTTAATATCAAACGCCTCGGTTCGAAATGTGTAAAAAATAAAATTTCCCTAACGATTGATAATATCATTTGTTTTTGAAATTGACGATAGAGCTATACATTGTTCCTTAACATATAATATTAATGAAAATTCGTTTAATTTGTTCTTTAAATGCACAGGCATCCACTCACTATGTTAATATTCATTTAACACTTTTAAATCTACAAATTTAAGTTAACAACAGTCTATCACACGTCTTGCAGATGTTTCGAAACGGTCAGGGATTTGAACGGTTCGGACCACATGCGTCGCAGATCGCCCTGGAAAAAAAGCACGTTATGTCACGGTGCGGCAAAATTTTATCTATGACCACAAAAATTGAGTGAAAGGCGGCATTAAGGGCAGGCGCCGCCAAAGCAAAAACAGAGAAAGTCTATTTTTATCAATTTAGAAAACAATATTTATTGGCGTTTTGTACTTTCTCCACGGTTGTGGAAAAATTAACTTCATGGGGATTAGACCATCGATTTAAGCGCATATGAGAAAGTCGCTGATTGGAGTTATAAAACGATTCACAATTTGGCGTTTTTTGCAAAAAAGCCATTAAGAATGTATGAAAATCTCGATGGTGTTTACGCACAAATCTTGAAATTACATTATCTTAATTATTTTTTTAATAAATCGTATTTTGGGGATGAAAAATTAAAATAATTCATTTCATTATTGTTTAGAATGCAATATCTTTAATAAAAAAGAAGATATAAAAATTATAGTCAGGAGATACTTGTTTTTACAGGCAAATTTCAGCAGATTATCCGACTGGTATTTATGCAACCAACAATACTTCTTATGTCAAGCCAATTTATTATTGTTATTATTTTCATTTAAGAAAAAAAAAAGTTTCACATGGAATAATTTATGGCTTCGTTATGGTTCAGATGCAATTTCTTTAATAAAAAAAATCTAAAATATCTAGACTATTATTTAGAAAATCTAAGCTGGCGTAACGGCAATGTGTCAAACTAAACTTTTCCAGTTTCGAGTTATAACAATGGCGTTTACAAAACTTCAATATCTTAATGCGTTTCCGGAACATCCATTAACGGAATTGGATGAGTTTTTTTACTAAATTTTAATTTATTTAAAAATTTCGGCAGATTTTCCGAATCGTATTTATGCAACCAACAATACTTCGAAGGTTAAACCATATCAATTTTTTTTTCGTATAAAAAAAATCGTTTTACATGGAATTACAGTCAAGTAACAAAAAATAATACAGAATTTTACAAATAAAATAGTCGAAATAAAGAAATTGAAAAATTAAAAAAAAAAATAGGGAAATCTAAACATCAAAAAATTGTAAAAACAAAAATTATAAGAACAAAAAATGCAAAATTTAAAAAATCGAAAAACCGGAAAAAAATAAAAAATTTAGAAAATCGAAAAATTGAAGAATTGAAAAACTGGAAAATCGATAAAATGAAAATCCCAAAACTGAAATAGTAAAAAGTTGGGAAATCGCAAAATTGAAAAACCGAAAATCTAAAATAGAAAAATGGAAACTCTAAAAAGCGAGAAATCTAAAATTTAACAATTGAAAAATCAAGTCGAAAAATTGAGCAATTAAAAATTCGAAATCTCAATAAATCCAGAATTCGAAATTTTTAGAAATTAAAAAATCGACAAATTCAAAAATTTAAAACCGGGAAATCGAAAAACCGAAAGATCCGAAAAATCAACAACTGAAATGTAAAAAGCTAAAAAGTAAAAAAATTGAGAAATCGAAAAGTCGAAAAATCGAAGAAAAATTGAAGAATCGATAAATTAAAAAATTCCAATATTACTTGTAAATATCAAAAAATCAAGAAATAAAAACCCGAAAAGTCGACATATCGGAAAGTCAAAAAATCGAAAATTTAAAAAATTGAAAAAGTCAAAAATTAAAAAATCGAAAGATTGAAAAGTCGATAATCAAGAAACGGGAAAATTAAAAAATCGGAAAAAATCAAAAATCGAAAAATGTAAATTTCGAAATGTCAAAATATCGAGAAATTGAAAAGTTGATTAATCCCTTAATTGAGGAAAAAATAGGAAAATTGAATAAAAAAACTGATAAAACGAAAAACCGAAAAAAAAAACATTTAGAAAATCGAAAAATTGAAGAATTGAAAAACTGAAAAATCGATAAATTGAAAATCCCAAAACTGAAATAGTGAAAAGTTGGGTAATCGCAAAATTGAAAAACCGAAATATCTAAAATTGCAAAATCGAAAAGCGAAAAGGTCGAAAAACCGAAAAATCTAACAAATTTAAAAATTGAAAAATCAAATCGAAAAAGTGAGCAATTAAATAAAAATTCGAAATCTCAATAAATCCAGAATTCGAAATTTTTAGAAATTGAAAAATCGACAAATTCAAAAATCTAATACCGAGAAATCGAAAATCCGAAAGATCCGAAAACCGAAACATCAACAATTGAAATATAAAAAAGTAAAAAATTGAAAAATCGAAAAATCGAAGAAAAATTGAAGAATCGAAAAATTAAAAAATCCCAATATTACTCGTAAATATCGAAAAATCAAGAAATAAAAATCTGAAAAGTCGACAAATCGAAAAGTCGAAAAACCGAAAATTTAAAAAATCGAAAAAGTCAAAAATCAAAAAATCGAAAGATTGAAAAGTCGATATATCAAGAAACGGGAAAATCAAAAAATCGAGAAATTGAAAAGTTGATTCATCGTTTAATTGAGAAAAAAATTGGAAAATTGAATCAAAAAACTGAAAAATCGAAAAACCGAAAAAAAAACATTTAGAAAATCGAAAAATTGAAGAATTGAAAAACTGAAAAATCGATAAATTGAAAATCCCAAAACTGAAATATGTAGTGAACAGTTGGGAAATCGCAAAATTGAAAAACCGAAATATCTAAAGTTGCAAAATCGAAAAGCGAAAAGGTCGAAAAACCAAGAAATCGACAAATTTAAAAATTGAAAAATCAAATCGAAAAATTGAGCAATTAAAAATTCGAAATCTCAATAAATCCAGAATTCGAAATTTTTAGAAATTGAAAAATCGACAAATTCAAAAATCTAAAACCGAGAAATCGAAAAACCGAAAGATCCGAAAAATCAACAATTGAAAAATAAAAAAGTAAAAAAATTGAGAAATCGAAAAGTCGAAAAATCGAAGAAAAATTGAAGAATCTATAAATTAAAAAATCCCAGTATTACTCGTAAATATCAAAAAATCAAGAAATAAAAACCTGATAAGTCGACAAATCGAAAAGTCGAAAAACCGAAAATTTAAAAAATCGAAAAGTCAAAAATCAAAAAATCGAAAGATTGAAAAGTCGATAAATCAAGAAACGGGAAAATAAAAAAATCGGAGAAAATCAAAAATCGAAAAATGTAAATTTCGAAATGTCAAAATATCGAGAAATTGAAAAGTTGATTCATCCCTTAATTGAGGAAAAAATACGAAAATTGAATAAAAAAACTGAAAAATCGAAAAACCGAAAAAAAAACATTTAGAAAATCGAAAAAATTGAAGAATTGAAAAACTGAAAAATCGATAAATTGAAAATCCCAAAACTGAAATAGTGAAAAGTTGGGAAATCGCAAAATTGAAAAACCGAAATATCTAAAATTGAAAAATCAAATCGAAAAATTGAGCAATTAAAAATTCGAAATCTCAATAAATCCAGAATTCGAAATTTTTAGAAATTGAAAAACCGACAAATTCAAAAATAAAACCGAGAAATCGAAAAACCGAAAGATCCGAAAAATCAACAATTGAAATATAAAAAGTAAAAAAATTGAGAAATCGAAAAGTCGAAAAATCGAAGAAAAATTGAAGAATCGAAAAATTAAAAAATCCCAATATTACTCGTAAATATCGAAAAATCAAGAAATAAAAACCTGAAAAGTCGACAAATCGAAAAGTCGAAAAACGGAAAATTTAAAAATCGAAAAATCGAAACATTGAAAAGTCGATAAATCAAGAAACGGCAAAATCAAAAAATTGAAAAGTTGATTCATGGCTTAATTGAGAAAAAATAGGAAAATTGAAGAATCAAAAAACTAAAAAATTGATAAATTGAAAAATCCCAACTGAAATGGCGAAAAGTTAGGAAATTGCAAAATTGAAAAATCGAAATATCTAAAATTGGAAAATCGAAAAGCGGAAAAGTCGAAAAATCTAAAATGAAAAATTGAAAAATCAAATCGAAAGTCGAGCAATCGAAAATTCGAAATCTCAATAAATCTGTGAAATCGAAATTTTGAAAAATTGAAAAATCAAGAAACTCAAAGATCTAAAACCAAGACGCCGAAAAACTGAAAGATCGAGAAATAAACAATAATTGAAAAGTCCAATATTCCAAAACTGAAATAGTGAAAAGATGGGAAATCGAAGAACTGAAAAATATCTAAAATTCGAAAATCAAAAACCGAGAAATCTAAAATTAAAAACTGAAAAATTGAGCAATCGAAAATTCGAAATCTCAATATCAAGAAATCGAAATTTTTGAAAATTGAAAAATCGAAAAATTCAAAAATTTAAAACCAAGAAATCGAAAAATCGATAGATCCGAGAAATAAAAAAATTGAAAAATCTTAATACTTAAAAATTCGAACAATTGAAAAATAAAAAAGCAAAAAATTGGGAAACCGAAAATCTAAAAGTCGAAATATCGAAGAAAAATTGAAGGATCGAAAAACTAAAAAATCTCAATATTACTCACAAATATCAAAAAATCAAGAAATAAAAAGCTAAAAAGCCGACAAATCGAAAAGTCGAAAAACCGAAAATTTAAAAAATCGAAAAAATTAAAAATCAAAAACAAAAAAATCGAAATCAAGAAATGGGGAAATCAAAAAAATCTGAGAACATAAAAAAATGGAAAAATCTAATTTCGAAATGTCAAAATATCGAGAAATTGAAACGTTGATTTATGATATAATTGAGAAATCGAAATTTTGGAAACGCCAAAAATTCTAAAATAGAAACATCGGAAAATTGAGAAACCTAAAATAAAATAAAATCAAGAAATCGGCAATTTTAAAAATCGAAAAAATGAAGCATCGAAAAACTAAAAAATCGATAAATTGAAAAATCCCAAAACTGAAATTGCGAAAAGTTGGCAAATCTAAAAATTAAAAAATCGAAATACCTAACATTGGAGAATCGAAAAATCGAAAAGTGGAAAACTCGAAAAGTCGAAAAACCGAAAATCTAGAATTAAAAGTTGAAAAATCAAATCGAAAAATTGAGCAGTCAAAATTCGAAATCTCAATAAATCCAGCAATCGAAATTTTTAAAA